GGGAGGGCGAGCGATCGGCTTTTAACTTCAGGTGTAGTGTCAATGAAAGCTCATGCACGTGACAAAGTCTACTGTGGCAAAGGGTGGTGGCCTGGAACTTTTGGTTCTAAGATTCCAGGCAGAGTTGGGCATAGTAGCACAAGCCTGCAATTCTAGCACCGGGGAGCCTGAGGACAGGAGGACTAACAGGAGTTTGAGGTTAGCCTGGGTTAGATTCTGTTGGAAAAAAGTTCAGGGCAGAAGAGGCTGTGAGATAACTCGCCAGGTAAAAGCGCTCACGGCTGAGCTGACAGCGTGACTCAGTTCCTGAAACTAGGAGAAAACTGATTCCCCCCAAGTTGTCCTCTGATCTCCACAAGTGTGCCTTGTAATATAAGTGCCAGACACACACACACACACACACACACACACACACACACACAAATGTAAAAAATAAAATGAATCTTCAAAGTGGACAGGCCCGCTGCTGTCTACACTAGGAAAATCACACCCGCCAACCCCAGCTTCTTCGTCTGAGGAACTGTGAAGTCATTTGCCTCAATGGTGCAGAATGAATTTCCTACATTCGAAACTACAGATCCTAAACAGAAAACCAACACTCCTACTAAATACAGAGGCCTTTCAAAATACAAATGAGGCCCCTAACCAATCCCCTGCCCACTAAGTCATCATAGCAAAACATGTCTGGCTATCGTTGTCTGAGTCTCTCTGTAAAAGCAGAGCTCTGTGGATGACCTCGGTATCCGGTCAGAAAAAGCCAGCCCAGATGCCAGTCAGATTTAAAGTTTTTATCTCCACACAACAGAGTTCCTCACCATTAGCATCCAGCTCTTATCTGATTAAGTCACCTCATAAAGAGGATTTCAAGATTATCCAGGCAGAGATAGGAAGTGAGAGTTTATGTAGCAGCCGATGGCCCGATGGTTAGCACCACAGCTATCCTAATTAAGAGCCCCGTGGCTGCTGCATAGAAACTGATTTCCAATACACCGAGACAAGTGGCTGCCACTGTAAAATTAATTATTCTGTAAGCAGAAACCTCGGGCTCTACTCTTGGTTTCTTGAACATCCCGGCTGTTTCCATGGGATAAGCACATTCAACAGAAGTATTTAAAAACAACAGTGGTGTGACTAATTGAAAGAGTTCAGATTAGACATCCAATTCTTTTCTCTTCTAAAATCATGCAGTTTATCTAGGAAGGCGGGGTGCAGCTCTAGGTGGCCTTCTTGACCTACGTGTCAGTGACCAGCTTGGCCATGGTATTTAATGCCTAACAAATCGTAAGATATCAGCATGCTAATGTTTTTGTACCAGATTTTATTTTCTTAAAAAAATATTGGAAGATAACTTAAAAAGTTAAATAGTTTTCTGAGACCAACCTATTTCAAAGTATTTACGTACTCAAAACCAGGCCTCTGCTCTGTGTAACTATAGATCGCTGATAGTCTAGGAACCAAATCATGGTGTCAGCTACGTCCTTGGAATCAGGGCTCATGTGTTGCTTAGCTATAGTAAAGTATTGTACAATGATAGGAAGGGTAGTCATGTGTAAATGTCAAGTGGGAAAACAGAGGAAGAGGGTAGGAAAACGAGAGCTTGCAAAGTCAGACTGAATACAGAGAATCCTGTGAGGAAACGAAAGCCCGCTGACTATAACAGGCTTGGCACTTTCACTGTCGCATGCCAGTTACTTTAAACAAAGGGCTCACAAACTTGTATAAAGGTTTGCTTTCTTGGAGCAGACCACTTTCTATTTCATCTGGTTGCTTCAAAATCAGAATACAGGCCTGGTCTGTCGTAGGAGGCCTGGTCTGTCGTAGGCAGAGTGATTTGTATAATGGTCACTGGACAGTTTTGTTTCTTTCTTTGGGAGGAAACTAGAAGATTGGAAAATAATCACCTCTAATTTTAAACAAAGTCATGCAGGCAAATACAGCTTGCTGATGCCATGCCTGTGACGAATACTGAGACAAAGTTGTCGTTGTTTGGTGGGTTGGGGGTGAGGGAAACCCAATAGGAGTACCCCACCTTTGACACTGCACAAGGTACTGCCATTTACAAAGTTCACTCAAAGATCACATTGTCAAATTGTAATAAATAAATAAAATTAAATACGTCACAAAAAATCCTATACTGCTGTATTATTTTCTGTTAGGTTGCATTTATAGCTATCCTTGACTGTGACTGTATGTACCCCAAGGCCCTGAGGCTGGACATACCTGAGTTCTAGTTCATCCTTTCTTTAAAAAAAAAAAATGTGTGTATGTATATTTTGCCATCATGTATGTCTGTGTACCGCGTACATGCCTGGTGCCAGTAGCAGAGTCAGAAAGAGGGCATCAGAATCCCTGAAACTGGAGTTAAGAATGCTGTGGGCCACCAGATGGGTGCTGGGAATAGAACCTGGGTCTTCTGCTCTTAACCCCTGAGCCTCTCTGCAACCCCCAGACACTCCTATCACTGAGTTATGGCCATTGCCAATACTGGCCAGTTGGACCTCTCCACTTACCCAGATTATTAACTTGTTCAAACGATAAAACACAGCTATTCTTCCAAACAGAAGTAACAGAGAAAACAGTAGTTAGCTATCACAGGACTAGAATGGTAGAGCATTTCTCTATTGTCATACAAATCCTCCCCAAATAAACTTCTTGTTTCAATACATGTGTGCCACAAAAATCACATTGATATTTAAGGACTTCAAAACACTCACCCTAGTGCCTGGAAAGAAGGTATGGAAAGTGCCCAGTGCATCGATAAGAACAGCAGTCTGGAGGCCGACTCCCCAATGTAGTGCACATTCAGGTACTCGGGCATAGGAGAAGGCATGGTGAGCTAGCATGAACAGGGATTTATGTAAATTATCTCATGGCTTCAAGTTCTAAATGATCAGTTCTCTGAAAAACTTGAATATAAATATAACACATCAAATAGGAATCTGATATCTTCACTGGAAAACCTTAATATTGAAATCATTCAGGTCACTGGATATTTCAGTAGTGCGTAGGAGGGATGAGCAGATCATGAATCCTGTCAAAGGGACATCCAAACACTCTCACCTAATGGCTGTCAAACATGAAACAATCTGGTTTGCGTTATGAAGTTACTGTCTTGGTACATCGGTGGTGTTTTTTTCTTCCCCTCTCCCTTCTCTACCAATGGGACACAGTACATTTCAGTGTCACAAGCAGTCTTGTATGCCGAAGAGTCCTTCACTTAGGCTACAGTTATGCTCGCAGAGTCAGCAGGTAGCCAGAAGGAAGCAAGCCCACTAGTGCAACTGAGGAGAGCATTGCTCCCAACACTGGGCACAGCTATGGCCCAAAGGAAGCAAAACAAAACATATGCAAGCCAGGTTCAACACTGACAGCCCTTCAATTCTTCAAAAAGCAGGTCTGCACAGTATCACTCTATCCTAAAATATTGTTACTAAATACAAAAGTATGTAAAAAAAAAAAGTGCTCTATGGGAAAATGTGTCCATAGACAAGCTACTCAAAGGCTATTAGTTTGTCTTATTATAAACAAATAAATGAGTGGAAAAAAGTAGCATTCAGTTTAACTTTAGTTATGTTAAGTGTTGGACCACAGTGATAATAAACCTCTATCAAAATCCTTCTGAAAGCATTCTGAAAATCTCAAGGAGCGATGACACTACTACATGTGACATATGTAAGAACCACATTTCCTGTTTTGAAGCAATAATAGGACCCAGGGAAATGAGTACTCACAGCGACCGACAGCTAACCCAGGGTCAATCTGGCTGTTAATCTACCAAAATTGGGAAACTGAGTTATAGATTGTGACCTTAAACCTTGGCGAACAACCCGAATCCAAAAATCTAAACTCGGAACCATTTTGGGATCAATGCTTGATGTTTCAGACATTAGCACATGTTGGAGTTCCGGATGGACGGTATTCTGCTAGTAGTGACTCTGAATATCAACCCCCAAACTGGAAAAACTGCAAAGTCTGACATATTTCTGATCCCAAGCATCATTTCTACTCTATTTTAGAAAAACACACATACACACAAGAAGTCACTGTCCACTGTAAGGATGACGGTTGTAGCTCTGCTGCTAACAGTGACTAGAGACAACCCAAATCCCATCACCAGCAAAAAGAATAATGTCCACTATAGAATATCCTAGAAGTATTAAAATTAGTAGGAAAAGTTGAGATGATAGTAGAAGGACAATCCTTCCAGGTGTGGTGGGATTCACCAGTAATCCCAGCTTTGGAGAGGATGAGGCAGGAGGATCACAAACTTAAAATTGAGGCTAGTCTGGTCTATGCAGCAAGTTCTAAGCAGTCTGGGCTCTGGGGCAAGATTTCCTTAAAAGAAAACAAAACAAACAAAACCCCTCAAAGACACCTAAGTTGAAAAAAAATAGCAAAATAAAATGTAGCTGATAGAGTTTCTGATGAAGCATGTCCTTACTACTCAGCGACATGGAAAGGGCAGGAGACGGCAGATGGTGAACAGTGGCTGCCTGTGGGGTTGGGTGGGGTGTGTAGCTGCACTGTATGTATTTTTCTTTCAGTTTGTGTGCTCCTGTGTGTGTATGTGAACATGGGGGAGTGCACAGGCAGGCTGGAGGATGACTTCATTCCTAACACATCACACCACTCATCTTTTTGTTGAGAAAGAGCCTCTCACTGGCCTGGAGCTCAAGTTTAGGCTGGCTGGCTAGGGAGACCCAGGGAAGTTGGTCTCTGTCTCCTCAAAGCTGCGGTTACAAACATGCAGCACCATGGCTAATGTCTGTTTGCTTGTTTATTTAACATGGGTTCTAGAATTCAAATTCAGGCCCTGGCTTGCAAGACTTTACTGGCTGAGCTATCTTTCCAACAGTCAATAATATTTTCCCAGGGGATTAGTATATAGTTTTGATTAAATTCTAAAAGGTATCTATGGTACCAAATAGATCAAAGAGTTTTCATTAATAAGATATAAAAGTTCTCTATAAATGTCAGATAAAATACAAAAAACAAGGGCTGGAAAGATGGCTCACTGGTTAAGAGGAGTGGCAGCTTATCCAGAGGAGTCAAGTCTAATTCCCAGTACCCATATAGTGGCTACCAACTTTTATAACTGCAGTCACAAGGGGTCTGACACCCTCTTCTTACCTCCAAGGGCACTGCATACATATGCTGTACAGGCATCTATGCAGGCAAAACACCCATACATATAAACATTAAAAATTTTTTTTAAGTAAAAAAAAGAAAAAAGTTAAATCAAGATCAGGTAAACAATTTAAATAGGCCTACAACCCCTAGTGAAATAGAAGTAGTCATTAAAATCTCCCAACCAAGAAATGCTTAGGGTCAAGCGATTTTATTACAGAATTCTACCAAACTTTAGAAGAAGAGTTAACACCAATACTCCTCAAATTATCTCACAAATAGAAACAAAAGGAACATTCCTAATCTATTTGAGGAAGCTACAGTCACCCTGATACCCAAACCACATAAAGACTCAACAAAGAGAATTATACATCTCCCTTATGAACATAGACGCAAACAAGTACTATACTCAATAAAATACTTGTAAACCAAATCCAAGAATACAAAAAATATCAAAAAGATCAAACATTATCAAGTAGACTTCATCCCAGAGATACAGGGATGGTTCAGTATACACGAAAACCAGTAATGTAATCCACCATAAACAAACTCAGGGTTGGAAGGAATTCACACACACACACACACACACACACACATCTCATCTCATTAGATGCTGAAAAAACCTTTGACAAAGTCTAACATCCATTTATGATAAAAGTCCTGAGGAGATGATTGGGGATACAAGGGACATACCTAAATATAATAAAGGTAATTTACAACAAGCCAGTAGCCAACATCAAATTAAATGGAGAGAAACTTAAAGCAATTTCACTACAATCAGGAACAAGACAAAGGTTGTCCATTCTGGCTCTATCTAGTCAACATAGTACTTGACGTTCTAGCTTGAACAATAAGACAATTAAAGGAGATCAAGGAAATACAAATTGGAAACAAAGAGGTCAAAGTATCCCTATTAGCTGATGATATTATACATAAGTGACCCTATAAATTCCACCAGGAAAGTCCTACAGCTGATAAACATGTTCAGTAAACTAACTGAATAGAAAATTAACTCAAAAAGATCAGTAGTCTTCCTATGTGTATAAATGACAAATAGTGGAGGAATGTCTCAGCAGTCAGGAGCATAGGTTGTTCTTCGAGAAGACCAGGGTTCGATTCCCAGAACCCACATGACAGTTACTTGAGCTTCATGGCATCCAACAGAGGACAAACAGACTGAGAAGGAGTTGGCGAAACAACACCCTTCCCAATAGCCTCAAGTAATATAACGTATCCTGAAGTGACCCTAACCATGCAAGTGAAAGACCTGTACGATAAAAACTTCAAGTCTTTGAAGAAAGAAATTAAAGAAGTTAACAGATGGAAAGACATAGGAAAAATGGCCATCCTGCCAAAAGCAATCTGCAGAGTCAGTGTAATCCCCAACAAAATTTCAACACAATTCTTTACAGACCTTGAAAGGACAATTCTCATCTTCACATGGAAAAAAAAATCAGGGTAGATAAAACAATCCTCAACAATAAAAGAACTGCTGGAGGTATCACCATCCCTGATTTCAAACTACTACAAAGCTACAGTAATAATAACCACTCACTATCAGCATAAAAACAGACATATTGATTAATAGTATTGAATTGAAGACTCAAGCATAAATCCGAATATCTATGGACACCTGATTTTTTAAAAAGAAGCCAGAAACACACACTCAATTTTAAAAAAAGCATCTTCAACAAATGGTACTGGTCTAACTGGACGTCTGCATGTAGAAGAATGCAAATAGATCCATATTTATCACCATGCACAAAACTCAAGTCCAAATGGATCAAAGACCCAACATAAAACCAGACACACTGAGCCTGACAGAAGAAAAAGTGGGAACTATCCATGAACACACGGAAACAGGAGATGACCTTCTTAACAGAACAGAGATAGTGCAGGCACAAAGATCAACAAGTAATAAATGGGTCCTCATAAAACTGAAAGGCTTCTGGACAGCAAGGAAACCATCAATAGGGCAAAATGGCAGCCTACAGAATGGGAAAAGATTTTCATCAATTCCACATTAGTAGAAGACTAACATCCAAAACATATAAAGAACTCAAGAAACTAGATATCAAAAAAACAAATAATCTAATATAAAAATGGGATTCCTCTATTCCCTTTAAGAAACACTTAAAGAAATATTCAACATTCTCAGCTATCAGGGAAATGAAAATCAGAACTACTTTGAGATTCCATCTTACGGTTGTCAGAATGACTAAGATTAATAATACAAGTGACAGCTCATGTTGGCAAAGAAGTGGAGCAAGAGGGCATTCCTCTGCTGCTAGTGGAAGTGCAAACTTGAACAGTCCCAGTGGAAATCAATATGGTGGCTCCTCAGATAATTGGCAATCAGTCTACTTCAAGACCAAACCATACCACTCTTGGGTATATACTTAAGGGATATTCCATCATACCACAAAGACACGTGTTCAATTATGTCCATAGATGTCCAACAAGCAAAGAATGGATAAAGAAAATGTGGTACATTTACACAATGGAGTAATACTCAGCTGATTAAAAAAAAAGTATCATGAAATTTGTAGGTAAATGACTGTAACTAGAAAAAAAAATTATCTTGAGGTGAGGTGACCAAGACCCAGAAAGACAAATATGATCAATGTTTTTTTCCAGCAGTTATCAGAGAGGTTTTCCTCCAGCAGCAGATGGGGGCAGGTGCGGAGATCCACAGAGAGAGAGACAGAG